TCCCAAAACAACTGTAGCACCACTTGAACACCATCATCGGCATTGACAGATTCGCCATTAGTCAATTGCAAAAGGCGGCCTTACTAGGAACCGCTTCCATCCTGCAACGATATCTGCAATACCATCAAACATCCACATCTGTCTATCCCAGGTCCTTGGGAAGGACTCGATAGGTAGACAAAATGACAAATCCAGTCTGAACATCTGGCTGACTGTGCGAAGATCATCATCATCATCATCATCATCATCATCATCATCATCATCATAGTTGGAAGGGACCTTGGAGGTCTTCTAGTCCAACCCCCTACTCAAGCAGGAGACCTATACCATTTCAGACAAATGGCTGTTCAGTCTCCTCTTAAAAATGTCCAGTGATGGAGCATCCACAACTTCTGGTGGCAAGTCGTTCCACTGGTTAATTATTCTAACTATCAGGAAATTCCTCCTTAGTTCCAGGTTGCTTCTCTCCTTGATGACTTTCCATCTGTTGCTTCTTGTCCTGCCTTCAGGGGCTTTGGAGAACAGCTTGATCCCCTCTCTTCGCTTAGGATGGTGCTTCCTAACTTTCTGTTCTTTGCTCCGTGATAAAAATCCTTTCCTGACTCCCCCCTTTCGCCCTTTAGCAGGCAGAAAGGTCAGCACCTAGATCGGATAAGTGACATACGCACCGGGTGGAGATTGCATAAACTGGCTTAGTCCAGGTGGGTGTTGTTTATTCTGGACTCTTTCCCTTCGGTCCAAAAAGCGCCAAGCCAAAGCTTGCAGTTCCAGGGTTCAAGAGCCAGATTAAACTCTTTGGGACCAAAAAACACAAGGAGTGGCTCGGAGGAATGCAGACCACAAGCGGAGAGAGATCCCGGTGTGTCGAATGCTTGCTTTGATTGGCAGGTGTTGACTCTTAGGCAGGGCTTGTGGCCCGAGGGTGGGGTGTTGCAAAACCCGAATGAGAGGCAGAAGCAGACATGTTTTGCAATAACTATCATCTATTCATCCATCTACCCATCTATCTACCTACCTATTCATGTATCTATCTCTCCATCCACCTCTTCGTCCTTCCTTCCCTACGTCCATCCATCCACCTATCCATCCATCTACATGTCCATCCATCTATCTACCTATCTACAATATACCTACCTACCCATCCGTCCATCTATGTATCTCTCATCCATCCATCCATCCATCCGTCTGTCCATCTGTATGTATCCATCCATCCACCCACCTACTTACCTGTCCATCCATCTGTCTGCTATCCATCCATCCACCCACCCACCCGTCCGTCCGTCCGTCCGTCCATCCATCCATCCATCCATCCATTTGTCCATCTGTATGTATCCATCCATCCACCTACTTACCTGTCCATCCATCTGTCTGCTATCCATCCATCCATCCAC